CCGCGGGGGCCGCGGGCACCAATGTCGGGGGTGCCACGGCTGTAGGAGGCGCCGCATGCGGGGGGCGCGCCTCAAAGCCAGGGGCGCGCTAAGCGAGGCGCGCGAGCACCCTGGGAGAGGCGTCGAGGAGCCCGCGTCACCAATAGCGGGAGGAACAGTCGGGGGTACCTGGTGAAACGGAAACACATGCTCATCAAAGTAAACATGCCGGGAAGTGAACACACGGTGGGAGACGGAATCGTAGCACCGATATCCCTTGGAGTTGGAGGGGTAGCCAATGAAGATGCAAGCGACAGATCGAGGTGCAAATTTGTGAGAAACAGTGTCGGCAGTGCTGGGATAGCAAAGGCACGCCAAAATATACAAGCCGTCATAAGATGGGGGCGTACCAAAGAGAAGATGATGAGGTGCGTAGTTCCACCGTGGGCGGCAGGGTCTAATGTTAAGGAGAAGTGATGGAGTGGCGAGTGCGTCCGGCCAGAAACGAGGCGGCACATTGGCATGAAACAGGAGCGTGCAAACACAGTCATTCAGAGTGCGAAGGACGCGTTCGACTCGACCGTTCTGCTGTGAAGTGTACGGGCATGTGAGGCGGAAAACTGTGCCGTGATCGACAAAAAGGTGCGGAAAGCGAGGTTGTCGAACTCTTTTTCATTGTCCGTCTGAAGCGCAAGGATGGGACGCTCAAACTGCGTGCGGACATAGAAGTAAAAAGCCGTCAAGGTAGAGAGTGCATCAGACTTTCTGCGCACAGGAAAAGTCCACACATAATGAGAATAATCATCAAGAATGACTAGATAATATAAATAGCCCGAGTTACTGGAACCGGAGAAGTCCACACATCGCTATGAATCAACTGAAAAGGAAAAGAAGCAATGCTAGTGGAATTATTAAACAGCAGGCGAACATGTTTACCGACTCGACAGGCATGACAAGTGTGATCCTCGACTTTATTGCAACTGAAACTGAAACTCCTAAGAATATGACGAAGTGTGATTAGGTTGGGATGACCCAAGCGAGCGTGCCAGAGATCGACGCCAGCGGAGAGAGCAACCGGTGCGGTGGTGAAGGATGAAGGCGAGTGCACCGGATAGAGCTCGTCGGGGCTGTCACATCGGTGAAGTACCATCCTGGTTCGAGCGTCTTTGACACAAAAACCAAGCTCGTCAAATTCAACGGTAACAGGATTTTCACGAGTGAAACAACGAACGGAAATAAGATTCTTAATAAGATGAGGTGACACAAGTATGTTAGACAAAGATAATGGAGTAGAACTAGAAGGAAAAGAAGTGTGCCCAACATGTGTGATAGGAAGTGTGGAATCGTCGCCAACAATGATGCGGCGGTCGGTGGAGACAGGAGTGAAGGAGGCAAGGTTACCAGGATGAGCGAACATGTGAGCCGTGGCACCGGTGTCCATGTACCAATCACCACCTCCAGTGTAGTTGTTCGACGTAGAAGCGGCATGCAGCTCGGTGAGGAGCACCGGGTCCCAGGGCGCCGGCGGCAGGGCCGGCGAGGGGGACGGAGACGCCATGGGGAAGCTGTAATCGCCGCTCAGCGACGGCGGTGGATACTCGCCATACAGCTGTGGAGCCGTGTAGGGAGGTCCGTACGCGGGCCGAGCCCCGTACGCCCAGTACGTGTGAACGGGCGCATGGGGGGCCACGCCAGAGGGCGCCAGCGGTGGGGCGTCGACATACGCCAGCGAGGGCAGCGGAGCCGAGCCGGATGCGCCGTAGGTCGCCGACGGCGGAGCCCCGTACAGCGGCGGGTGTTGGGGAACGTAGCAGAATTTAAAATTTTCTACGCATCACCAAGATCAATCTATGGAGTTATCTAGCAACGAGGGAAAGGGGAGTGCATCTACATACCCTTGTAGATCGTGAGCGGAAGCGTTCAAGAGAACGGGGTTGATGGAGTCGTACTCGTCGTGATCCAAATCACCGATGACCTAGCGCCGAACGGATGGCACCTCCGCGTTCAACACACGTACGATTGGGAAAACGTCTCCTCCAACTTGATCCAGCAAGAGGGAAGGAGAGGTTGATAAAGATCCAGCAGCACGACGGCGTGGTGGTGGAAGCAACGGTAATCTCGGCACGGCTTCGCCAAGCTTAGCGAGAGGGAGAGGTGTCACGGGAGGGAGAGGAAGGCGCCAGGGGCTAGGGTGCGGCTGACCTCCCTCCCCCCACTATATATAGGACCCCTAGGGGGGCGCCCCTAGGAGATGGGATCTCCAAGGGGGGCGGCGGCCAAGGGGGGTGGCTTGCCCCCCCCAAGCCAAGTGGGACGCCCCACCCCTAGGGTTTCCAACCCTAGACGCAGAGGGAGGCCCATGGGGGACGCACCAGCCCACCAGGGGCTGGTTCCCCTCCCACTTCAGCTCATGGGGCCCTCCGGGATAGGTGGCCCCACCCGGTGGACCCCCGGGACCCTTCCGGTGGTCCCGGTACAATACCGATTACCCCCGAAACTTTCTCGATGGCCGGAACTTGACTTCCTATATATAAATATTCATCTCCGGACCATTCTGGAACTCCTCGTGACGTCCGAGATCTCATCTAGGACTCC